TTTAGTGGGACAGGGGTTCTGCAAGCTCCCTCCCCTGCTGAAACACTTGACCAAAGAAACAAGGAAGAAAGGAGAAAGCAGCTGAGCAGCCAAGGGCAAATATACCCTCAAGAGACGGAGCCTGGAAGAAGCAAGTTCTGCAGCCCTCTGCCAGGGGAAAAAAGAAGTGATGCAACTTCTAGCAAGTCTTGCTGAACTGCTCCTCAAAATAAACAGGCCATTGATGCCAGCGAAGGCTACGGCAGCTGCTCCCAGGGGCAGTTGCCTGTCTGCACCTTGCGCTGTGTTTTGCTCTTGAAGGAAAGGCTTGCAGTTCTGTACCTGTTCCCATCTCCTCCCTGCACCCAGCTCCAGTGAGGCTGGTGCTGTGGGACAGCCCTGGCGAAGATCAACCGGGCACTGGAACCACCTTTCCTGTTGTACCTGGAGAGAAGCAATTCCCTGTCTGCTGCCGGCTCATTTGGCTACAAGGTGACAAGCCAGGAATAGAAACCCAGGGATTTCTGCCTCTTTTTGCCTGACTGTCCGTGACTGTCCTCCAAAATCAGCCTCGTCCCTGTACCTTGCCTTGCACAGATCAATGAGAAGTTCTGTCTTTACTGATAACCCACAGATTCTCCGTGCAACTCTCACCTGTGCCTCTGGTACCGAGATTGCTGAATGAAACTCTGATGAAACTTTCCTCAAACCACCTCCAGCAACATCAAAGCCCAGACTAGGTTTTTTGGGCAGCCCCTGACTCTTCTTGCTGAGGAGGGCAGCTGGCACATGCTGTCTCCATCATAGAGCCCCCAGGCATCTTGCTGAGACACACACTCCCCCCTTCATGCACACACATAATTTGCAAGCATCAATTTCCTCTCCTCTCTCCTCACGCAACTCTACCAGGGATTTCTGCACAAAAAGAAGATGCCACTGACTCTCTTGACCTCTGAACTCAGCTGCCTCCCAGGAGGCAGAGGGCTGGGGCTGAGCCCAGAGAGGAGGGTTTGCAGCTGCCCTTGTGCCCTGAGGGGGGAGACATATGGGGGTGACAGTCAATGAGACAAGGAGAAAGGAGAGGAAATGTGTGTTTTCTTAGCGCCCGGCCTCCCAGCTCCTGGGAACTTTATGGCTCTGGAATATTAAGAGGCAGGAAAGTTAATTAATACCCAGAACAAAGCCAGGGCTGTTTGGCTTCTGGGAGGAGGAAGCAGTGGAGACAGGAAGAAGAAATTGGTGTCGTCTTAAATAATTTGTTTTATCAGCAGCTAAAGTAGAGATGAAGCCCAGTGCAGGGGTGAAGGGATTGATTTTTGGA